TCACTGACGAAAAAATTATCTACTGGTACCGCATCACTCCTAAATCCCTAAACTGCGACAGCACTGACACCACGATGGGACCCGGTAATAACTCAACGGGCGACTTCTTCAATGGTCGTCCCAATGGGTTCGATACAATGGCGGACAATATTTTCGTGGTCTCGTTGCTGAAATCAGCTGGAACCGTTACCGTGAACTCTGGCGGAACTCTATACACTTTCAATGCCCCCGCCGGCTCCTCTGCCTTCGCAGTTCCGTTCAAGGTCGGATCTCAACGAGTCGCACTCGTAAGGGCCGGGAACCAAGTCATGGCGGAGACCAGTCTCAAGGTTGTTCAGAACACATGCCCCTGTGGACTTTACAACTTCAACGCCTATGTTGGGACTGTTCCTGCCGGCCAGCGGGACGTCCTCTCGACCGGTGATTCGTTGGCAGCCTTCCGCAATGGATTGAAGGTTGCCTGCGATCCCGCTCCATCATTACCTGCTACTCCCCCAGCTACCACTGCCATAACTACCACAATCACAGCTACCGCAGCGCCTACCAGTCCTCCTGTATAAGTTGTAGCATAGCCTCAATCTAGGTTTATTCGGATGGGAGAAAAACTGAATACACCGTTCGGGAATCGAACCCGAGCCGCTTGCTGCCTCTAGATGGAAGGCAAGCATGATAACCACTTCACCAACGGTGTGCTAGTAGAATAACCCTCATAGTACCTCACATACCTCACAGTACGGCACCTCGGGACCGAAGACTTGTCAGAAGCGACCGGGACGTGACCTGACACCCCTCCATAGCGTTTTCTTTCCTTACCATCTCAAAACGGATTCAAGATTCCAGTGAGTATACAATCTTTCGGTCGCCTGAAACACTCTTATAATTAACTATTAAGACAACCAGTATGCTTGCTCAAAATATGCACACTCCAATTGTTCTGGCGGAATGACTCGCCATCGAGGGTACAGCGCCTGGTACCCAGACATCTCTGCGGTCCGGTCAACACGCCCCCACGCTATCGATTCGGCCTCCTTGAAGCAAAATAAAATTAAATAAAGGAAATGGAGGAGGAAGCTTTGCAGTACCGGAGGACCGTGGAAGAGCTAATCTGACGCATGTTCATGTTGAAAGAGACAACGAGGCGATATCGTACTACATTTTCCCCGATCCGAGAATTACCAGCGGAGACCTTGTCAACCATCATGGCCTATGCTGTGCAGAGGAATAGGTTCAGTGTCTCAAGAAATTTGCGATCTCCTGCTTCACTTTCGAGGAAGGTCTGTACATCTTAGCGTTCAGTCGTCCTCAATACCCCCTTACATCTGGGGAACTGCCACCATTGATGCCACATTCGATGCAGACCGCTATCCCCTCGTCTTTGAAAGACTCAAAACCCGCATTGAACGCTCTAGAGGCACCCTCTTGACGTAGAAAATCGATCTCCTCAATAAAGTCGTTCGCTTGGACCGGCTTCATCCCATGTCTGAGGCGCTTTCTGGGACAGTCGAACGCCCTAAACTTCGTGTCGGACAGCTCAATCTTGTTCTCGCCCCCTACTCATTCACCCTCAGAGTCGACTGCAGATCCCAAGCAGTTGATACAGATTCTTGAACCCACCCTTATTCATCTACACTCCTTGTAGATTTATGGCGAAGCGTACACCGCGGGCGAACAACACCCTCTACATTTCTGAGGTCGATATGCTTGCAGCTATATCCCTCGTCGCACCCTTTCCCGACCTACACGTCGTGTCCATGACCATGAGTGCACCTTCCAATCCTACGATGAGCCTCCCCGACGACGCTCGTTTGGTATCGTTGAGTTCTCAAGTCCCTCACTTTGACCCAGTGATGGGTTCAGAATCAAGCGCGCGGCCCTGGGAATCTTCCAAAGTGCCGGTATTGCGCATGTTCGATTCCGTCATTGCCAGGGCCCGCCACCACAATGCCACTGTTATGATCCTTCAACGATCCGGGGCCCAAGACTTGAGAAAAGGTGGGTATGTAGGCCTTTTTGAGGACCTCGGATCTCCAGGAAGCCAATTTCAATACTTGTCTATCGTCCCCGAAAATTATTAGATTACACTAGGTAGAATCTACAGTACTTTTACACGAGAATAGTCTACACGGCGACTACGATTACCGTTAAGGTACAGTACCAAAGAATGGTCCAAAGCATGAGATTACACGGCAGACGATATGCCATCGAAGTTCGACTTGTCACTCTGTGGAGCCTCCGTTTAAGAATCGATCAGGACAGGGACGGATGGTAGGCACATACCGCACCGGAGCTCGACGATTTCATTGCGGAGTTTCCGTAATTAGCTCCCGATTTCTCTGTTGAGGTCTCGTCGGGGGAAGCATTAGTGTTTAAAAGGAAAGTATCCTCAAGACTGAGGTGCATTGTGGTTTCCATTCCGGTGAAGTTCGATGACGAGTGCCGTATTTGGGCCCGTGAGTTGAGATTGTGTAGCTAGGTGAGCAATCAGAGTGATCTCGAGTATTCCCATTGCAGGATTCATGCCCTTACCATTGTCAGGGCGTAGATACGACCAAGGGAGAACACAATTCCAACAGAGACTACAAAGGAAGTGAATATCAGGGCGGAGAGCTTAATGACCCAATGAACACTCACTGTTATTCTCGTTATCGTTCAAATAGACAATCAGTGCAATTGTGGCAACGAGGGATCCTGGTGATCCAGTCTGAATCGCAAGGATTGTCAAGCGCTTAACGAGACTGAGGAGCGATGATGAGATATGGACTCTTTTTCCCGCAGGATAATCGTGAAACCTACCTTTCAGTCTTTCGCATGGCGGTTTTCAGACGCTGAAGAGTGTAGATAAGGATTGCAGCAATCAGAATATCTGATACGGCGCTGGCAACCAGCGAGGTACTGGAATGAATTAGTGTCATTCCCAAAGCCGCAACAAATAAAGGACAACTGGGCTAGGACGTACGTGACCGGGATGTCTGCCTTGGTTCTGTCTTGGTATTCTGGAAACCTGATAATCACGACCGTAGTGACAATAGTTCCAGTAAACTGTGAAGGGATCAATTGCCGCCCCTCTTGATGACTTCCATTGGTGGCACTCACAGCAATCATGCTCGAAAGAATCAGGAACGGGGTAATGAACTTATTCCTCGAGCTGTTGAAGGGGTAAGTTTAGTAGAATACGGGGAAACGCAGGAAATCACGAACAGAAGCCAGTAGCGGAATATCAAGAAGTGTTGAACCATCCATGTCGAAGCCCCAGTCGTGACAAGATAGACCGGCATGGGCTAAACATTTGTAGTGTCAACAGAGGTTAGTCAGTCAATCGGGAAGACATACCCAGTACTGCCGCTTTAGAAACACTTCATCCCCTGATTCGGTGATTAGACTTTAAGCTATCGCGGGATTATGTGAAAGGCCTACCCCAGTGGGTTATCGTGTACTGAAAGCCGAGATTCATCCCATCGCTAGGAGATAAGGAGCAAGAGTGCATACCATGTATATCATTGCATAGTGGTCGATGGTAGAAACGGCATCCACCAGCAAAGTCACAGCGACGATTAGCTTGAGCCAGAAGGGATCTTTTCGGCACTGCGTGAAGTACTTGTAGCTCTGTTAAGACCGTCGGTTTGAATTGCGTGGACGAATGAGCTGGAAATCGTACCATGATGAGCTCGATCATGAAAAAGTACTATTCGGATAGAAACAAGTAAGTAGCGGCGCATGAAACAAAGCAGTAATGGTACCGAGTTGACCCATGTGCCGCACAGAAGGCCACTGGCAGCCAATAGTGGTCAGTGTCGATCATAATGAAGTAAGTAGGCGTCTTACCCCAGGCTTTTATCGATGGAGTTCAGCATGATTACCGAGTTGAGAGATGTGGAACCTCGGGATTTAGCTTTGAGAGACTCTCGTGTGCTTTTATGTTTCTCTGAGACACAGGTTGCTTGTGAATAAAGCATGCATGTGTGGATTTAATGAGGACTGCGCCGAGTGAGAATGTGTGCGAGCCTGGTCTAACTTGGGTCATTGACAGGGAAAATGAGCGCTGCCACCCGAAAGAATTCAAACAAGGGAAGCTTACCGGGATCAATCCACTGAAGCCCCCAGTTATGGGGACTGAGGACAAATGGAAACCGCATGTCCAGTCAACTGCCAGATCGACACAATGAACTTCGAGGTAACATGTCGACAATACAGACTGCATGAACTTTGCGTGTATATGCTCGGTCTGGACACCGGGAGGTAGGAAGCTTCAAAATTGAAACTGCTGGTCGCTGACGACAAGATTTGTCCTATCTCCAGAACGGGCATTAAGAAATTCCCGTGAAATATGTCCGTGACGATCACTGGCATGCCTGTCCAGTGACATGTCAGTGACAGTTCAGTGACCCGATTCACTGACATTTCTATGTCAGTGACAATTCAGTGACTGGGTTAACTGGCGTCTTTGAGGTCAACCGCGATACCTGGTAGCGGACTCCCTCAGCTCAAAAGCGAATGTCGGGGATTGTATCGTGAATCAACGGCGCAAATCGGCCAGCAGGGGACCAGAGGGGAAATACATTAAACTTGAGGTTTTCTGAACGCTGAGTGCAGTGGGGTAAGCGAGCAATGTATCGACAAAAAAAATTACCTGTCGTGGACGGTCGTGGACGAGGGGAGAGAGCGAACTCCAAATAAAGAAGCCAGTGTGACATCAAAGTTTGATCGTGACTCACTGTCACTAACCCTCTTTCTTTTCGATCACATCAACGACGGCGGCAGCCCTACATCTGCATCTCTATCTCTGTCCATTCACTCTAATATGGTCTGTGCTAACGACGGTAACATCTGGTACACGCCAATGTTATCGGAAACTCTGGTTTATGCCATTTCGTACCCAGCTCAACGCGGCAACCCGCAGCTCTTCCCTCTACGAATACATGCATATCAAGGACGGATATCTCCTATTCCCATTGCATACGTCTGAGCGAAACCCGCTTTCCCCCCTCTTGGTCTGATTTGCTACAACAGCCTTTTTGTGTCCGTTTTACGCCAATACTGAGGTAAACCACGTTTACGGACTCAAGTCATAATTACCTGTCTTTCGCTCGGGACATGGAGGGCTCGATAATGTAAATGTCTGCCTTTGATGCCTACCTTGAGACATTCTCGGATCAGTAAACTCTCACTCACTGGCTACATTTGTTTGTGCTTGCTCGTGCTCCTAACGCCCCATATCTGTTCGGTCGCGAATCGAATCTGAGGCTGTGAAGATATGTGCCCGAGGGAATGTCAGACGCCAGGGAAGTACTGTTCTCGCTCTGGGTCTTCACTGCACCGCTCTAGACGCGCAGGGGATTGTTGGGAAGCTGAAGGTGAGTTCTCTCTGGAAAAAGATCCCCGTGGGTGTTGACTCCACGTCGAAATAAAGCCTTAATAAAGAACCTCTTAACGCACCATGTCCGGTGGATAATCGTGACCGGTTGCGACCAAAAGCGACTCATTGCCACCCGTGCCAACTCATCCCATCGGCGTCAACTCATCCCACTCGCGCCAATTCTTCTCGCCGGCGCCAATTCTTCCCACCGGCGCCATGTATATCCAAAATCCAATCCTCAGGAACGACTTGATCGTAAGGGGCCCAGGTCAAACACTATTCACATGCTAATTAGTATTATCTAGCTTAGAGCCCTACAGAGAAACACTTAACATTGA